AGCAAGCAAGCCATGGCGGTCGAGCGTCTTCCGCCAGTAACGTATCTAGAATACGTGCTTCTACGTTCCCGCGAAGTCTGCTACCGGAGCATTGGCGTGGAACTTACAGTATTACATTTCCAAACGCTGTCGCTTTCAAGACAGCTCGTCGACTTGCTTCGTCGCTTCGGGATTACAGGGGCCAGTTTAGCTGTTACGACCGCGTCGCGCTAATTTTTCTTAACGGGAATTATGGGAAAGCCAATTTCAAAAGGGGAATACAAAGCGCAATCCGTCGATGAAAATTTTCAAATTGTCAAATACGCGATTTGGATTATAATGCGATACTATAATCGATACGACGGAACCTTGATCGAGGAGATCTACCCTTGTTAGGGGTTGCGTTGCGTTCCGTTTACGTAAACTAGTCGTTCTTTTGCGAGTAAACGCAAAAGAAGCGTTTACAATGAAAAATAGAAGCCCGGAATTCTGATTGAAGTGTCAAAAATGTGGGCGATTTATTAATCGTAAAATATATCGTAATATAAAGTATGTAATATAATTTATAAATTTATAAATTATAATATTATAATATTGAATAATAATAATAATATATAGTAATAATAATATTATAATATTATATAAATTATAATATAAATTACAATTATATAAATTATATACTAATATTAATATTACTTATTATTGTGTTGATATTCCAGCAAGAGAAGAATTTGCAATAATTAATTTCTGCTTAGAAATGCATAAATATTTCACTTCGACAATTTGTTAATCGAATCATTGAACTCATAAAAATAAAAATGTTTCCTTGCATCCATCGTGATTTGCATTGCGACGCTTATTTATCGAAGAACTATGTTCAAGTACAGTGACTCGCGTTCATTAAAACAACTTTTACAAAAATTAGTGAGCCGTCATTTTTTATTTATTTATTTACTGATAAACGGGCATAGGCCCTTGTAGTACATAGAATTTATAAGAAAGAACTATAGTAATTCATATATAATATATATAACGTATAATTTAATATATAATTTATAATATATAAATAATATATAATTTAACATATAATTTATAATATACAAATAATATATAATTTAACATATAATTTATAATAAAGAAATAACATACAATTCATAATATACAAACAATATATAATTTAACACATAATTCATAATATACAAATAACATATAATTTAACACATAATTCATAATACACAAATAACATATAATTTAACATATAATTTAGTGTCAACGCGAGTCACTCGGTATCATACGATAAAGGGTTAATCGTGATTCTCGGTGCCCCCCTGGTCCCACAATTGCAGCGAACACGATCTAGGCGCCGGGAAACATGCCCCACCCCGGCAAAAACACTCGACGCTCCTTTTCGCGATTCCATATATCGTCACCAGCCCGTTTGCGAGGCGGCGATAACATCGTGGCGTTTAATCTTTCAAGTTTTTTCCTCGAAATGCTTCGCGGAAGTTTTCCAGTTTGCCGAGACAGGAAAACGGGTAAGGGACGGCGGCGGTGGGGGGAATGGGCAAAAAAGGGGGTGGACGTAGAAGTAAGCTGAGCGGCCGCTAACTTCGACGCCCCAGCTCTTTTTAATGTTTATGCTTTCGAGGCGCTTAACGCGGCCCATGAATATGGCTACTACCAGGCGCACCAGCCGCCGCTCTTCCCCGTATCCGAAGTTTTACTTGCCACGGGCCGACTGAGATAATTAGAGAAATATCGCTTAATAAAATTCGCCCCCCCCCCCCACCGGGTTGGAGCACCGAACGCCTGCACTCCGCACCTGATCTGCCCCCCCCCCTCCGCTCTCCCGTGCCCGCTGGTCTCTGCTCGGCCTCGCGAGGGTTTACGCTGAAAACATGTACACCAAGCACAATCGAAACTTCGCTAAGTGTCTGCCAACGGCTCGGCTTAACCTTCTCCCCGGTTACCATCTCCGGGCGTGGAACACTTGTAATTACGCGGAACTCGGAAGTTTCTCTCACTTTGATTTCAATCTGGCCTTCGCGCTGCTACGCGTAAGGCGTCATTTAGCAACTTCCGAACGAATAATCCATTCTCGCGAGATTATCATCCGCCGCGCCGCGGACCGTCGGTTTCCTAACCTTTTGGCGGATACCACGCGGCCAGTCGCAATAGTCCATCGATTAGAGACACGTTCACGCCTTGTCACACGGCGCACCGAAACAACTTAAGGGCTTTAAGTGGGCCATCTAGCAACGCACGGTAGAACTTCGCTTAATTCTTGATCCTTCGTTGTCGAAGCTATTTTAACCCTCTGCACTCGAAGCCGTTTTAATTGTGAATCTAAATTAACTTTTTTGACTTATAATATTTCCATTTTATATAATAAAGTTAATTTCATGCATATCAAATTGAGTCTTGTGACTCGTACAACAGTTAGACTTTTAACAATCTTTTATATCTAAGCTTTGATAATGTAAAAATTATTTTGGGACGTGGTGTAACAACTTTTTAGTAGTGCCTCAGAGTCACCACTCGAGTGCAAAAGGTTAATTCTTGATCCTTCGCAGTCGAAGCTATTTTAACCGTCTGCACTCGAAGCCATTTTAATTGTGAATCTAAATTAACTTTTCTGACTTATAATATTTCCATTTTATATAATAAAGTTAATTTCATGCACATGAAATTGAATCTTGTGACTCATGCAACAGTTAGACTTTTAAGAATCTTTTATATCTAAGCTTTGATAATGTAAAAATTATTTTGGCACGTGGTGTAACAATTTTAGTGGTGCGTCAGAGTCACCACTTGAGTGCAAAGGGTTAATTCGAAATCCAAAACCTGCAGTGTTCAATAATCTACAGTATAGACGGTTAATAATCTAGAAATCTACGGTATTTCTATTTTATATGATGTAGTACGATTTATTAATAGGAAATTGAGCCTATTGGCAAGTACAATACTTGCAATATTTACAGATTTTGAAAATATAAACGGATCTAATACTATCACAATTATTTAGAGAAATAGTACAGCAATTTTTAATGAATTAATAGCGTCTTAGCGTCGCCACTTGAGTGCAGAAGGTTAATTCTTAATTCGTTAATTTCTAATTTCTTCCCTCAATTTTTGTAGAACTTCGCTTCTTCCGTGATTCTGGTATAGGCCGATTATACTAACCTAAAGTAGTTCGATCACATTAATTGTTCCGTCGTTCAACAGAATTTGTATTCCTATCCGGTTTCCTTCAGAGCGAATTTATCTTCTTATCAAGTTGGAAACGGCTTAATTTCCAAAGAATTCCATTTGGCTTAGCGAGACAATACAAAAAAAAGGAGCAACTTGCAAACATCACAAATCGTTCAGAGAACATTAAGACAAAAGAAAAACAAGGGAGCTACAAAGAAACACAAGGAATGTTTCAATTGAAAGGGGGAAGAATGTGAAGAAACGTGGAAAACAATTGGAACAATCGTTCAAGCAGAGATAATACAGTTTTATAAGAAACTGGCACTTCGTTAGAAGAATTGAATCAGAATGAACGAGTGAGATGCAAGAAAGAACCATTTTGAAACCACTAAAAGCGACGACCGGCTTGAATGTGTGAGGTGAAGTCGTTGGTATCACGAGGGATGCTCCAAACACGAGAATTTTTCTGATTTATATGGGAAGCTGAAGAAAAAATGACGTCAGAATTATTTTCTCTATTTATAATGCTTTTTATAAGCCACAGTCGAGGTTATTTTCCAAGGTTATTTTCTCTCAACCGAAGTAACTGGACGCTCTAACCCGGTGATGCGGCTGGGATGGTCCACTTACGGTATTTTTGTTTTCTGCTTGAAAGCGGTAATATTTATTTTAATTTGTTTCAGAGTTATTGCCAATTTCTGAGCTCAAGGTCATCCAAAGGTCATTGTACGGTGGATCGCTGAATTCATTGTTTCATCAGCTATAACACCATAAAGTTAAAAATATATAGTGCTATTTAAAAATGTCAAGGTGACCCTAGTTTTTTATCGAATAAACAAATTTTTCGCAATTTTTATTGATGCACTTTGTTCCCATCAAAGTACTGAATAACTTTTATTCGAGACAATTTTTATTAAATTGGCCTAAATGCCTCGAAAATAGTGGCCACCGTCACAGTGAACACCCTGTATATACGTATATATATATATATATATATATATTTTAAAAAAGAATTTTATTGTATCAACCAAATTACAGCAATGTCTGAGAAATTTCAGAGTAATTTAAGTAATTAACGTGTTGTACAACCGTTATGGGTCTCTTCCTATCATTAGANATATATATATATATATATATATATATATATATATATATATATATATATAAATTAAAATATATATATATAAATGTATATATAAATTATTTAGATATTGCTGTATTTTGGTTGATACAATAAAATTCTTTCTTCAAAAATTGATCGGACTTTCCCGAACTCACCCCATATGTGCCTACCTGGTTATACAGGAAGTCCCAAAAATGTCTCGCAATCCGAAAGTGACAGGTTCCTCAGATCATTTGAAGCAACTTCTTCCTTTACAAAAATTTTCTCCGAGGCACCGTTAACGAGTTATTAATAAAAAAAACAGTGACCAATAAGAATCGAGTATGGCTGACGCGAGGCGGCCCAGCCAACCAGCGCACGAAGCCCAGTTCCGCTCATTGGCTCGGTCGCGTCGCGCCAGCCGAGCTCGCCTCTCATTGGTCACTGTTTTTCGTTAATAACTCGTTAACGGTGCCTCGGAGAAAATTTTTGTAAAGGAAAAAGTTACTTCAAATGACCTGAGGAACCCGCCACTTTTGGATCGCGAGACATTTTTGGGACTCCCTGTATATATGTATTATTAAATTATTTAGACATTGTTGTAATTTGGTTGATACAATAAAATTCTTTTTTCCAAAAAGTGGCCTAACTTTCCCGGACTTACCCCATATGTGCCTACATGGTATACAGGGTGTTCCACAATTATTTGAACAGCCGAAAATGAGGGGTAGCTGAGGTCATTTGAAATAACTTAACCAGTTGTCTTCCGCCGAGTTCATATGAATGGAGCTCCACCGTATAGCCTAATCGCGCCAGGCCCATCGGGTTCCGCGCTTTACGTTTCATCTCGTAAATCAGTTTCGCGGCCAAACAGATTTCATCGAGACCTCCTCCGACCGGGATCGGGCGAGAAACAAGGGTTTAGAAGCTATAAGTCACCTTCGACGCGCAATTATCCCCCTCGCGCTCCCCCCGCCGCCCCCCTCTCTATCATCGTTCGCCGCGAGATTCTTGGCGTGATTCGAATCGCGCCGGTTATATTTTCTGAAAACGCTGAAGAAAAACGAGGAGCCCGGAAAGAGAGGCCAGCCGTGTATCCCCTGTCATTTCTTCCTTATAAATATACTGCTTCTTCGGAACTCGCAGATCATTATATTACTTCGGGAACATTTTCTGCTTCTCTGTACGTATATTCCCTCTGAAGCAGAAATTCAGAGCCGCCGCCGGAGAGTTCGTTCGGTCGCTTCAGTTCCACCGTGGTTCGCTTCGTTTCAGTAAATAAATATTTTTCTTCTCTGCTGAACGGATATAGTTACATCCTCGGCACATATTGCCACAGCTATAATTAGAATAGTTCGCTTATCGCGCGAGGTGAGGACGAAACGTTGGCGGAATCGTATATATTTTTTTCTTTTTCTTACATTAGTACGGTCTTGTTATCAACCGATTTCATAAAATGTCACGCGGCACCTCGAAACTTCTCGCGACTTGTTGTTGCGAGACGCGGCGAAACCGATCTGAAAAAATAGTTGAAACGTTCATTTGTAAAGAATGCATACAACATAAATACGTTTAGGAAGATTCGAAGAATTTAACTAATTTTAAGTGATTACAATGTTTTCAACTTTAGCCGCGATTACTCGAGCAAGCAATGCGAAACAATGATTTTGTTTCGCGTAAAGATCTCCGCTAATAACCGATAATATGGATTTTATTGCTGCAGACCGCGGCTGCGACTATTTTTGCACGGTATATAATGTCAGACATTGTTTACTATCAATATTTACTTCTTAACACGTTCTAAAGATATACGAAGGATACATGAATGCGATAAATAAAATGCAACTTATCCGTGTACTGTATATTCGCGTGTTATCGCCGCCGATCGTTTATTTCATGGAAACTGAAAATCGGCTGTAATTTGAAATCTAAGTCGCGACACGAGTCGACGATAATAATATCTTGATATAGTAAACTGTTATTAATCTCGTGCAAAAATTGTCAAGGTTAGTTCTATCAGTCGTTAGTTATTTGTTGTTGTTTATAGGTACACAGTTGACTTCCAAATATTTTTTATATAATATTATTTTATATTAATATAAAAAAAATATATATAATTTAATAATAATATATTAATAATATATTATAATATAATATATATATGATAATATATATTATAATATACTATCATTAATAATATAGATTATAATATTTATAATCTTCTCGCAAACGAAGCCAGGACAACGAAATTGAAAAGCTCTCAACCAGATCGGTGACTTGAAACTCCTTAACGGTTATGTTGGTGTATGTCATGGACGCACTAAATTAAAAAAGAATAGTTCAAATCATATAAACATGACTGAAACATAAATGAATTCGAAACTGAAAACAAATGAAAACAGGTTACCTTGAAAAAATAACCTCAACAAGTCCAAGATATCTTATGTGATATTCAATTGTTGTGTGCGATGCATTTAACCTTTTTGCAATCTCTCGTTATGTGACGACTTAGATTCGATTATGGCTTCATTTTGTCATCGTCAACTTCGGAAGGTCCGAACACGTCTTCCTCGAACGTCTGTCATCTTTGAGTGAGAAATCTTCGGAACGAAATTTTTTGAACCAATTCTGACACGCGCGTTCCGTTAAGCGATCGACGCCATAGACTTCGCGTATCTCTTTACGAAGCCGCTTTTTTGTCTTTATGAAAATAAAAAAGTAAAATGTGACGAAAATGTTGAATCGACGGACTCCGGTTAGAATTGAGTGAAATTCCAAAGACGGAAGGCAAACTAAATTTGTTTCTATATTAACCTAAACGTGTCAACTACCAAAGCTGAAGACAGAAAAATTGTAACCTTAACGAAAGAACGACGATGCAAACGTAACGCTATCTGTTGGTGCAAACCGAAATTACTTTTTTGCCAACACAATATTTACAATGTTTCCATCGACGCGATTTCAGCGACATCGCATTTCACGGACATTGTTTATGTATTTACGCGCTGAAAACGCCGGCAAATGTTATTATCGACGCTTCGTGTATAAGAAATGCAGAAATAGAGGCTATCCGTTCTACCGGGTGTGCGAAGAAAGTGTCAAGAGTGGAAACAGTTGCGAGTGCGGAGAAAAAGTGAGTACAGTATTTGTAAATGGAAAACACATTATTCGTTCTCGTGACACTGCAAAACATGATCATGTACCGGAAACAGCACGTCCTCGAATTATTACAGTTTGCAATCGAATAAACGAACTGGCTACTGACAAGAGATCCTGCAAGATTGTCAGAAATGCGACTGTAGAGGCCGAGAAAATTGTTGAACCACAGCTTTACAACAGCAAGTGTTATATAAACGACGAAAAGATAAATCTGCTGAGCCAAAAAATATTGACGCACTTAATTTGTCCGACGAAATGCCGAATACTTGGAATGGAAAACCTTTCGTAGGAATTATCAAAAAAGAATCTGAACGTTCAGTGCTGTTCACAACGATCGTCCTTCATTCTCGGTGCCGTGACCTTACGTTGATAAATCCATTTCTCTTACCGTAAATAATACGTAAAACATAGCGCTAATAATGAGTGTGTACGATACGACGTTCGAACGTGTACTTGGTACACTGCCGAAAGTTCTAAGTGTCGATAATAACATTTGCGGTGAAACGAGAATCGACGTAAACATTTATCGGTGATTTNACTTTTTTGCCAACACAATATTTACAATGTTTCCATCGACGCGATTTCAGCGACATCGCATTTCACGGACATTGTTTATGTATTTACGCGCTGAAAACGCCGGCAAATGTTATTATCGACGCTTCGTGTATAAGAAATGCAGAAATAGAGGCTATCCGTTCTACCGGGTGTGCGAAGAAAGTGTCAAGAGTGGAAACAGTTGCGAGTGCGGAGAAAAAGTGAGTACAGTATTTGTAAATGGAAAACACATTATTCGTTCTCGTGACACTGCAAAACATGATCATGTACCGGAAACAGCACGTCCTCGAATTATTACAGTTTGCAATCGAATAAACGAACTGGCTACTGACAAGAGATCCTGCAAGATTGTCAGAAATGCGACTGTAGAGGCCGAGAAAATTGTTGAACCACAGCTTTACAACAGCAAGTGTTATATAAACGACGAAAAGATAAATCTGCTGAGCCAAAAAATATTGACGCACTTAATTTGTCCGACGAAATGCCGAATACTTGGAATGGAAAACCTTTCGTAGGAATTATCAAAAAAGAATCTGAACGTTCAGTGCTGTTCACAACGATCGTCCTTCATTCTCGGTGCCGTGACCTTACGTTGATAAATCCATTTCTCTTACCGTAAATAATACGTAAAACATAGCGCTAATAATGAGTGTGTACGATACGACGTTCGAACGTGTACTTGGTACACTGCCGAAAGTTCTAAGTGTCGATAATAACATTTGCGGTGAAACGAGAGTCGACGTAAACATTTATCGGTGATTTTAACGTGTCGGTATATAAACAATGTCGGTGTGAATTACGGTGTCGCTGAAATCGCGTCGATGCAAACATTTCCGGTGAAATAATTGTTGGCGATTTCAAGGTTATAGAACAACGCAAGGTTCGGTTAACACAAGGTTAACTTTGCATAGTCACGAGGTCAGCTCCGAAACAGCAAGTGTTATATAATCGACGAGAAAATAAATCTGCTGAACGGAAAAGCATTGGTACATTTCTACAGTAACCTAAACGTGTCCAAATCTGAAGACAGAAAAATTATAACCTCAACAGAAGAAAGAACATACAAACATATGTGTGCGAATTTGAAAGATTGACCGATAGTTCTGGAACGACGCAGAAATATCGGCGAATATATTCGGCGTCGTTAAGGAGTTAAAACGCCCAAATAAATTTCTTTGCGCGACGTAGACTCTACACGGATTACGAATTGCTTGTCAGCAACGCGAAAAAGAAACTTGCGTCCGATGCAGAAAATGAGTTATGCGGACCCGTCCTAATAGACGCTAAGAGATTCGTATCTTCGCTTGCGGCTTGGCAAGTCCACTCAGCGTTCGGTCATGAGCATTGTCAGTGGAGGATTTAGCCGCGGGAAAGGGTCATACCTAATTCGGTCGAGTGAAAGCTCGAGGGAAAGGACTATCCTTGAACGGCGTAGCGTGACTACGCTACGGCCGGGTATCGGCGCAAAGTAAAGGCTTTGACCGAGGCTCCGTATGTAAATATACATTGCAACCTTCTCGCCGCGATGATACCAACCTATGCCATCTTCGGACAAGGGTTCCCTCCTATCGATCTCCGCCGCATTCGCGTCGCTTCAATCCGAGGAAGAAACGAAACGCGTCCGTTGGGGATTTGGTCACGCGACGAGAACCTACAATCCCAGATTTGCAAATAATTTACCTCCGATCTAATGAGCTCTGCTAAAAGTATCGCTCGATTCAGCATTTTAACGTGTATCGTAAAAATACGATTCTTGCTCGCAAATATTCTCTCGAAAGTATATTATAATATTATATTATAATATTCGAAAGTATATTATAATATTATATTATATTATTCGAAAGTATATTATAATATTATATTATAATATTCGAAAGTATATTATAATATTATATTATAATATTATATTATAATATTATATTATAATATTATGTCCCAAAAATGTCTTGTAAACCGGAAATGAGAAGTTCCTGGGATCGTTTGAAGTGACTTTTTCCTTAGCGAAAATGCAACCCGTGGCTTAGTTTACGAATTATTAACGAAACAACACTGACCAATGAGAGGCGAGCGAGCTTGCCTAGCGCTTGGCTGCCGAGCCAATGAGCGCGCGAGGCCCAGTTCCGCTCATTGGCTCGACTGCCTTACGCCAGCATATCTCACCACTCATTGGTCATTCTTTTTCGTTGATAACTCGTAAACAAAGCCGTGGATTGCATTTTCGCCAAGGACAAACTTATTTCAAATTACCTCAGGAACCTCCCATTCTCGGATTGCGAGACATTTTTGGGACACCCTGTATATTCGTTTGTATTTTTGTGCATGTCACGCTCTTTGCAGTTATTCTTTGCATTGTTTGTTTTGTGAGGATGTTATGGTTTAAAAAGTTTACGCTTTCTGGACGATTTATCGTGATAATAATTTTACTGTTTCCTGTTGACGCTAGATTTACGGAGCATAAAAAACAGCTGTTTTGTATTAGTTTATAAAAGTAAGAATAAGACGTTTATTCTGATTTTTAACAAGCATCATTTGCAATATTTAAGTAAGTAACATATGAATTGAGTAAATAACTCGTAAATGTAGCTTTGCGATACGAGTAATCGTAAATTAAAAAATTTACAATTCGGTTTCGTAAATCTAGTGTTAATATTCGCTCGCGGTGTTCAATAATTCGTAAATTAATTTTTACAGCCGTAGCAATATCGAGAGTGAAAGTACATATCGATTGCACGATTATCGTCACGTTTTATTGCGGTACGAAGAATCGACATTTCGATATTATACGTTTTAAATGTCCGAAATAACTATAATATATATATGTACATAAGATATATAAATAACTATAATATATATAATAAATAAAAAACGAATAATCAAAAATAAAAACGAAATAATATTTTTGAAATTGGACCAAGCGACTCGCATTTTTTAGCAGTTAGTCAGAGGAACTAGTTCATCGGACAATGTTTACAAATTTTTCTTTAAAATATAAAGAACAATTTAAAGAAAAAAAAAACGATTTAATCGCAATTGGAGAATTTCATCGAAATTGATCGCAGTTGTTACGAGCCGCGTGCAATAAAAAATTGCGAAAATTGCAGTCACTTCGCGATTTTCGGCACTTTCGACCTTTAATTAAGAAATCCGCAGATTTGCACATTTTTCAATATCTCCAGCCTGACCGTGCGTTAATTGTTTTAACCTTTTGCACCCGAGTGCTGGTGGCTCTGAGGCACCCTAAAATTGTTATATCACGTTCCAAGATAATTTTTATATTAATAATTTTATATTAATAACTGATTAATAATTTTATATTAATAATTGATTATTAATTGTATATTAATAATATAATATTAATTTTATATTAATAATATAATATTTTTTACTTTTAGATTTAAAGAACTGCTAAAAGTGTAACTGTTTCACTTTTCCATATCAAATGGAAATACTGTAAGTCAGAAGAATTATTTTTCATTTACAATTAAAATGGCTTCGAGTGCAAAGGGTTAATATAACGGGTTGCGTACAATTTAACAAAATTCAAGCTACGTATTTCGATGAACTTGAAAAAAGTTATTCCATCGCAACGCTTCGCCACGTCGACAGCCTCGAAACCTTCACAAAATCAGACTTATAAATTACTCCTTATCGAAATATCAATTAAAAATTTTTAAGCGTGCTATTAATTACCTTCTCGACGATCCTAATCAAATTACAAAGACACGACAGATCAGTGTGAAACGAAATTTTCATATCCGAGCAAACGATCCCCCCCCCCCTTCTCATACGATTCACGCGGCACGAAAAGTGTTCGAAGGGCGCGTTAGAAAGAAACTGTCGCGCGCGACTGTACCCGCGCGGACCGTCGCCGTCGCTTGCATCGCTCTTAAATTAATTCGGTCTGTTTGACGTTACTTTGGCCGCAACGAATTATGAAAAAAAAAAAAATAAAAAAAAAAGAGTATCCCGCAGGCCTTTTTCCGCTCCGTACGTTGATCGCGTTAAGAATCCCGAATTCCACGAATAAACCCAACGGGGTGTCCGTCCGGCGAAACAAGCCCGAAGGTGTGTTCTTTAAAACCGGCGGTCTATTAAAATTAAACGAGGCCGGCCAATCGACCGTTCATATTTTTC